ACCCGTGACCCAGTCGTCACCAGAGAACTTATAGTTGATCAGTTGATCCTGTCTATTTGACAAAAAAACAGTGACAGCAAAGGCAGCGGCCAGCTCTGCAGATATTCCAGTTCCACCACTAACAACTAGCAGCGGCACCCACTTCATATAGATGCGCGTTAGCATTTACTGCAGGTTTTAGCTACGGCTTCACATATGAAAAAAATGCAAGGTTTCAGACTATTTAGGTCAGTCATGGTTTTAAAGGCACAATAAGAAGCGGCCCACAAGGAATTACGATTTATTAACAAAACCAGGGAAAAACATTTTGGCAAACCGTCATATATTATATATTACAGCCCGAGCGCTGGTTAAGAATCCGAAAGCTTGAGGCCCAGGGTCCCTCAAATTCTTATTTTTTTAATGCAGGCAAATTTACACACAACAGGCCGAGGGTCCTTCAAATTCTTAGGGCATTCTTAGTTATGTATTGCATGCATCTGCGCAATTTGGAGCGAGCTTAAACGAGGTAACGAGGTGGAGTGGGCAGATTTGACAAGAGGCATGTGAAAAAATGTTTTTTTTTGGGCCTGAAAAATTGTTTTTTGCAAAGCCGGGCTTGTCTGAGTTTTATGAGAGTTGCGGTGTTTGTTTTTTTAGAGCCTGATTTTTTTTGCAAAACCCGGTTTTATCCCATAAGACCATAAGGGATTACACCACAAAAAAATGAATCGCAAAAGGGGAATTGCAAATTTGACGTATGAGCATAATTTAAGAATTTAATAATCCTATTCCAGGGTCCTTCAAATACCTAAAATAATTTATAATTGCTATAATTGAAAATACATAGTCCGCCGAAAATATTGATAAAATAATATAAATAATATATATTTACTAAAATAAAATAAATTTTTAAATTAAAAAATAATATTTAATAATGATATATAATTTAATTAATTTATTTTAATTAAAATATATTATATATTTTTATTTATATATTATTAATAATTTAGATAATTAATAAATTAATTATTATATTTTAATTATTATATTATAAATATTTATTTAAAAAAATATAATAAATATATTTAAAAAATATATAAGAAATATATTAATAAATATAATTTATAAATAAATTAATATAAATTAATTATTTATATATATAATTAGATTTATATTAAATAATTTTAAATTTATATTTTAATATTAAATATATATATATTATTTATTTTGTTTTTTTAAAGAAATAATATTTTATTATTTTAGGGAAATATTATAAAATTTTTCTTATTTATAAAATTTGTATGTGCCGTGCGCTAGGCAAGCCCGTTTGTGTATACGTGCGCTTTGCGAAATTGGTATTTTATTTACTATTTTATATTTGAAGCTTTATTTCGTATTTCGTACATCTTACTACAATTTTAATATTCCCTACTACACACTTCACATTCCACACATCACACTTCACACTTCACACTGCACTTTTCGCACTCCAAACTTCACACTTCACATTCCATACTTTACACTTCACAATCCACACTTCACACTTCTCACTCCTCACTACTTCCTTCACACTCCAAATTTCACACTTTACACTGCACTTTTCATGCCCCACACTTCACACTGCAATTTTCACACCCCATACTTTATCTCATCTGAATTTGAGTTCTCCTCACCTTATTCCAACCTATTTCTTCTTATCTCATTTCTTTTCAAATATAATCTAAATTTTCATGAATCACTTCGCAATACTACTACTAATTACTATCGCAACCTTGATGCACCTACCACAATACGATTTACGAAATCCAGCTGCAAAAACAAAAATATTACGTATGTAGCCGCGGCAAGAAGCAACCTTGACGTAACCATTATAATGCGATCTGCAAATATTGAATTGCAAAATATAATAACACTACGCGCAACGGTGTCGGAAATTGCAGCTCCAAAACCGGATCTCGACGCCAAAGCGGAAAAAAAACGATTTTGAAACACTTAAAAATAAAAGGAAAATTACTAAAGCTAAAATGAAAAAAATCTGCTGACAAATTACTATCGCAGCCTGGATACAATCACTCCAATATAATTTATGAAGTCGAGCTGCAAAAAACAATAATATTATATATATAATTGTTATACCAAGCAACCTTGACGCAACCATTACAATGCGATCTGCAGGAACTAAATTGCAAAATACAATAGAACAATACAAAATCTTCTCGGAAATTGCAGCTTAAAAAAACCGGCTTTCGATGCCAAAGCAATAAAAAAAATCGATTTTAAAGCACTTTTTAAAAGGAA